GTGGACATTGTACCAATGGACAAAGTCTACAATGATTTGCCAACTCTGTTGAATAATCTAATGAAGTGCCTCTTGTAATATCAAAGTATAAAATGATATCAATTAATTGAGTTGATTCCTCTCAAAACCTCGATTGTCTGCGGGAAGAGCAATGTGGACAGTGGTCAGGTTATTTTCCTTAGACGGCTAGATTTCACTGAACCGGATGGATAGCATTTTAAGCTTCGTCACTTTTACATCTATGGACTACCTGCATCGTCTGCGTAGCATCTGAAAAGAACTTTTTATTTATGTGTAGTGATAGAAGGAAATAAATACAAACAACCTAATGATGGACGCGAAAACTTGAGCTAGGATCTGCGTAAAGTAAGTTGTTCCAAATTTGGTTATCTACCTCTAGGGTCAGGGTGGAGGCTTACCTTTACACTCTGGCTTGTTGATGTCTGCGACGACCCATATTTGTGCCCGCATAAGAATGGAGTTTTTATCTGTGGGGTCTTTGGATAAACCATTTCTTGATCGACAGCAATAAAGCGGTTTAGGTTACCACATCGCCTCGAGAATGTGTTCGAACCCGTCATGTCCGTCTCATACCCAGGCAAACTTTGTTAGTCACAGCCCCCTTCAAGCATATTTGCATGTTCAATAAAAGAGTGAAATATCATTTAAAAGAGAATATCAGAACTCCCTGAATCTCACTGTGAGACTATCCTATGCACCTCTACACCGTCAATTCAATTTTATTAATTAAGCATTTGAGGATAACTTCAGCGAAAGCGAATTCCGACTTTTCCGCAAATATTTCATTTTACTGCGCAGAAGTGAAAAAAAGTTTATGGCTTGACAACTTTCAGCATCTCTTCCAATCGTGCTTTCGCTTACGTTTATTAGTTATAAGTTTTACTCTTCCATACAGCCTTGCTCAACTCATTTGTATTGGCTTTCAGCGAAAAGGTATTGTGATAAAGATTTTGAGCTCAGTTTCACCAGTTAATATTTTTACTGTGTTTTTGCATGTGCGCTTTATGCAAAAAATTTAAGTTAATCAGCTGCATACATACAAAAGAATTTATATTTTTCTTGAATTAGGTTTTTCAGTGGCTCGGATTTTTACTGTTATCCTTTCTATGTTATTTAGACGAATGTAAAAGCGGGGATAACGAAACTTCATTTGATACCAAGTCAAGTCAACAAGATTCAGCGGGCCGTGCAATCACCTCAGACACTGTTCAAATTCGTCATGGCCTGACAATTCTTCAGTCTATCGGAGATGTGTGGATTCCGGGACTTTGCGTCTTCCTCACACTGATGATAACACTGTCTTTGTTCCCTGCCTTACTTCAACCAGTCGTTTCCATGAATTTTAACCCGTCAGACAGATGGACTTGTAAGTGGTTTTCAATAACCATGCACATCTGAAGATTTTCCACAAGCTTTAATTAAATCACCATGAGAAGCGTCCTAAAGGCTCTAAAATTCACTTCACCTAACGGTTTATTGAACCGTTGATTCAAGATGTGACCTCAGTTTTCTTTGCCGATAGAGTTAAATTTTACTAGCAACTTTGAAGTAACTTTTACAACTACCGATGATCAGGTGAAGTAATATCGAGATGACTTAATTCTTCTCGGATCCAGTTTGTCGTAAAACTAATTCCCCTAGTCTATTTTGATTTTGAAGGTGCATTAGTTCGTGTAGT